AGCAACAGCTGCATCCCAGCAGCTGGGCGGCACCCACCCCATGTAGCAAAGGTGACACAGCCCTGGTGGGGGGGTGCACGTGGCTGCAAGTACCACAGAGGCACTGCGCTAGTCTGCATCACAGCCGTGGCAGATCTGCTGCTGTCAGACCAGGGCTCCGTAGAGCCTGACGCCTGCAGCCACTCTGCTTCTCCTCCCCGTGGAGATGCGCAGAGCACTGGAGACCGAATAAGTTTCCTGGGCTTCAATCCTTTCTTTATGCCAGCGTTTTCTCCTTGTCTGCAATTTCCCGGCCGGGTTGCTGTTCTGAAGGGTGTTTGCTAGCCAGACCTGTATCTGTTCTTCCCTCCAGCACTGTTCCTGCTTCTCCAGCCATGTATCAATATTCACTTCACTAAAATTGCTGAGTTAACCAATGCCAATGTGATTCCCCCCTGGTGTTTTTATAAAGAGATGTTGTTTTCTAACCCTGCTTTGGTGCCTGTCGAGTGCTGCCTGCAGCGGGAGGTGACAATAGATGCTGGTGGGCAACAGCATATTGGCACAAGCTGTACACCATCCCCAGTGCCGGGCGTCCCTGCAGCTGGAGGGTGCGCTATGCCATTGCGGCCGCCAGCTGCTTGCACCCGAAACGAGGGTCTGCAGCTGCAGGGGTAATGCAAGGCCAAGCCCAAGGGAAGATCCCCGACAGCCCTCACACCATGCATACGGGCTGGATGTGTTTTTCAGAGTCTCTTGCCTGCTGTGCCGTGCTGCTGCTTCTTGCTTTGGCCTGTCTCAACTCTCCAAGGCTTTTTCTCCCTGCTGCACATGTCTTTCACCTCTGTGCCACATCCCGTGCTAAGCTGTGGCCAGCACAGCCGTGTCAGTGGCATCCTGGGGCCCTGCCTGCTTAACAAGCTTGGCCAGTGCCGTCAGGTTAATAGAGAAACCCCCAAGGAGTTTCCAGGTACCTGAATGCAATGGGCATGGGATGGCGTGGGGAAGGCCCTGGCGCTCTCCAGGAGACCTGTCCAGGCTGTAGCTGGCCAAAGCAGCATTTGTGCTGCAGAATGGGTTTTTCCTAAACCTGCCTTGTCCAAAGTCTGGCAGCTGCAGCAGCTGTTTCCAGCTGTGCCAACAATCTCTCTGCCGCTCCCCGGCCTCAACACCGCAGCACAGCCACTGCTCACCAGACATGGGGTTGGGCAAAGGAAGCACAGGTTGAGGGAATGCTTTAACATCTGCAATGAAAGAAAAATAACAGACCATGGGAATGCAGACACATGGAGACACTGGGGCGGTGGGGGTGGGTTGAAATGGTGACTGAGCAGGTGTGGTTGGAGCTCCTGGAGCGAAAACAGCTCTGCAATTTTGCAATATTTTGCAAAATCAGCTCTCTTTTCCTGACTGTCTCCAGCCAACTTGACAGCAGTCCTGTGAGAGAGATGTGAATGTGCTGAATGTGCGTGTGAGAATCTCAAGTTACTTTTTGTTTAATCTGCTGATGGCAAGGAATTCATAGCTTTACCTTAGGTTCTCAATATATTCTGAGCTTCCCTGCGTGGCAGCCCGTTTTTCCATGCATGTAGCTGGGGTCTTTTATTTTCTTTTATTTTTAGAGCTCTAGCATATCAGATCGGCATTAGCAAGCTTTCCAGTTGCCGACAGTGGAGGGCAGGGCTGGGATCCAGCATGACCTAGATAGGCTGGAGCAATGCTCTGCAGTCGATAGACAAGATGCAGCAAGCACATGTGCACTTGGGACAGAAGAGTGGCATGCACGCATCCAGACTGGGGAACGACTGGCTTGGCTGCAGGGCTGCAGAGAGGGACCTGGGGGTTACTGTGGACCATTAGCTGAATATGAGCCAGCAGCGTTCTCTGGTTGCACAACAAATAGCCAACAGCCTCCTGGGTTGTATTAGCAAGAGTGTCGCTTGTAAATCTTGTATTAACAGGAGTGTCAGGTGCAGTCTTCAAACACTGCAAGGAAATCATAGAGAAGGTGAAGATGGGCTTTCCTCTGTAGGAGACAGGGCTAGCAAGGGAAATTTAGGTTCGAATCGCCACCCCTGGAAACTTTCATAAGCGGGTTGGACAGATGTGGGGTGCTTTAGTCAGGGCTGATCCTGCCTGGAGCAGGGGGCTGGACTAGGAGACGTGGCAGGGTCCCTTCCAGCCCTGCGTTCCTATGACCACTGTGGCGCCCATCTGGATACCTTGCCGTGATAAGCACCACGATGCTAGCACCACTCCTGCTCCTAAATTGTAGGCCATGAAAGGGAAGTTGTCCCGCCAGCCAACGAGACCAGTTACATCCCTGTTATATTTATAGGGCCTACAGAAAATAGATGCATGCCCCTAACTTGTCACAGACCCACAGAGCAGCCACACCAGCCCACCTCGCTGCTGAAGGCAGGATCAGCTCTACCTGAACCCTCCCAGCCAGCTGCTTGTCTAAACTAGTCTTAAACCTTGATGAATGCCCTACACTCTCCAGCAAATCCTGGGCATGCAGCCCCAAACACCAGCAACCCCCGAGCCTGCCACAGCAAAGCAGGGAGACGGGGCCCTATCGGCGTCCTGCCACGGGTGTTTCTGGTGCCTGGAGACAAAAGCAGGCTTTGGATGGGATCAAGCTGCTGCCTCAAAGGATCCCCTGCCTGGAACGGCACCTCGATGCCCCGCATGTTGGGCGCACAATCGGGGCACTGTCTGCCCACGCAGAGGCCGGGCAGCACTGCCAGGGACCCCCACCCCCTCTCGCAGCTGTGCTTGGCTAGCAAAGAAAAGAGTAGTGCCAGTCTTGGCCCTCTCCTGAATTCCTGCTTTGCCCGGAGAGCCAGCCCAGGCCTTGCTGGGTCAGCGGGAGCACAGCTGGGACATTCCCGCTTGCATTCCTCCCCGGGCGGCAGCCCCGGGTCGGGTGGGGGAGCAGGCTGCAGGGTGCGAGCTCCTCGGCGGGGACGGCGCGCAGGGGAGCGCAGTGGGGGCAGCTGGGACAGGACGCTGCTTTCATGTCTCCTGCAGCAGCATCTGGGGAGCTTCACCCGGGCAGAAGGAAAATACAGGCAGAAAGGATGACTTTGATCACCTGCCATCGCAGGCCGCAGCGGCAGCAGCCTGCCCCTGCGGGAAGTCTTTAGCCCTTAGCGCTGACGCCCGAGACAGGCCCCGGCCGGGCTGCCGCCAGCCCCCCGCCACATCTGGGGGTTATTTAGATAAGGAGGGGCTGCACCTACACAAAGAGCTGGTAACGCGCTATGAAGGTGGAGAGTGCTCCTGTATGCTTGGCCAAGGCCAGCTGCCTGCCGTGCTGCCCGGGCAGGGGCTCAGCTGCTGGGCTGGGCTGTGCTGTTAAAGGCTCCCCCCTGCTTTGCACCATGGTGCTGGGTGCTTTCTCCCAGTGCAGAGCTGGGGAGGGCAGCCCCATTGGGCTGCAGGTTCGCTGGCACTTCCCTCTCTGGCCAGAGGGGCTAGGGCAGGTGTCGGGCACATCCCGGCCTCGGACCAGGGACAGGGCGGCTCTGGAGAGCAGACTCAGGGAAATGCTGCTGCCACGGGTCGCTCGGGATCTCTCCCGCTTTCCCTCATGGCTGCAAACCTCTGCCCAGCCTGAGGATTTAGCAATGCCGGAGGAAGCAGAGCAGCACTGCCAAACCCCAGCATTGCCTGGCCCACCGTGCCGAGGGCAGGGGCAGGTCGCAGACCTGGGGGGATGTTTGTGGGGCCAGCCCTGGCTTCTGGGCCTTATCCTGTCACCCTGAGGCTCTGGATCACAGTGTCAGGGGGACCAGACACAGCCTGCCGCACCCTTCACCAGCAATCCCTGGGGCTGATTGAGAGCCCGGCTCTCGCCGTGCACAGCTGTGGGATGATATGCATGGGGCTTGTGGCTTCCCGGCTCTTGCGGAGGAGCCCTCGATAAAATGAGCTCAGAGCAAAACGCGAGCATTGCCACCCCTGCTTCCGAGAGGGTCGGGTCGTGCTCCCAGGCCTCAGAGCTAACTGCATTGCTCGTTCCCTTGGAGAGGCAGCATCCCCGCTCTGCCGCCTCATGACGGTGGGGAACAGGGGCCAGAGGTAAGCTGGAAACGGGACCGCAGGAGCACAGATGGGGGCAGCCACGGAAGTGGCTGGCATTAACCCATGGGATGTACATGGGTGCTGGGCCAGCCTCCCCATGACCATCACCGCCCTGAAGCACAGACCAGCTCTGCCAGGCCGCCCAGGGAGCGGGGCGGCAGACAGCAGACCCCGGGGCGCTCCCACCCCTGCCGGGAAGGCTGCACAAACCTCTTTCAAAGGGATTTCGGCATTGCTGGAAACCCCAACTGGAGCATGCATTTGCTTCTGCTGGGCCCAGACAGGCAGTGGCTTGGGCCTGGGCCTGCGGTGAGGGCTGGGCTAATTTTTTCCATGCTGGTTCACTGGGTGGAAAGGGGTGAGAGTGCAATAGGAAGTTGCAGGCGGTTGGCTTCTCGTCACCACTCCCCAGTGCTCCCCTGCGGAGCACACGCTCTGTGCCTATGTGCTTTCCCTGCTGTAATGCATTGGGGCCTGGCAATGCACCAGCACCCTGCCCCTGGGCCAAGAGTCTCTGCACCGGAGAGCCGCCTTGTGCGACTGCCTTCCCGCAGCTTTGGCATGTTGTCGCATCCTGAGCCCCCCCAGCTCAGATGCAAGCTCCCAGCCTCCGGAGCCTGAGCGGGGGGCAGTGCCCTAGGCGGAAGGCATAGCCAGCCAAGGGTAGGGAGCAGGGAGCAATGACCCAGGTGCTTGCTGGGACCAAATTTAGGGCAGCACCGTCATTCCCTCCCTT